ATATATATATATATATATATATATATATATATATATGTATTTAAAGCTGCCATAATAACCCATCATTGTTTAAATGTGAAATGAGAAAAATCACTTCTTTGCCTTCTTACACATAAACTAATGTTTACCTGTGCTAGCATAACTTTCATATAGAATTAAAAATTGCCCAATTGACTAACTAAGCAAACTACTGAGTTGGGTTGGGGGATACCAAATGTCGCACAGGGTGCCATCAAACATAGATATAGCACTGAGTTTCATATTTTCATATTTTAAAAACTGTTAATATTTTGTACTGTTTATAATAAAACATTCTTTCATGACAAGAACTGATTTCACCTTTATGTTATGTACAGCTTGAACATGATACAAAACAATCAAACAAACTCTGCTGCCTACTGACTAGTCATATACAGTAACAATGAGCAAACTTTAAAAAGTTGTTTCTTAAGTACTTCAACTAAACATTATCAAAAAATTGATGCTCAAAATTTTATTTTAAATATTTCAGAATTTTTAGTTCATTACATCAAAAGGAAAAACATTACTTATAAACTTGTACCTTTTTAATATTATTAGGTTGATCTATAAATAGTTACACTGTAAATGAATGCTCAAATTAAAGCATTACAAGGTTTTGTGGTTACCAACTCTTGGTTTCATTTAGATGAGTTGCAAATTTTTCATAGCATATGTGTGTAAGGTTTCTTTTGTGTGATTGTTTAATCATAACAAAGAGTTTTCTCGAGCATAAAGTAAATTTTGTAAACATCCCAGATGTATATCTATAAATGACAAAATTATTTCATCCTTTTTCAGATCCATTCCAAAGATTCAACTTTAGTACTAACAATAAGGGCATAGAAAACTGGTTAACTTCCACAAAGATTTACTCAGTTTTCACCTCCTAAACACTGAAAGTATCCAAGAACAATATAGTTTTGTCTCATACACAAATTTGGTGCACAAAATGAAAATAGCTGTGAAACGTGAATAGCAATAAAATACAAGTAAAATCTATTGATCAATCCATACACATATTTTAAAAGCAATGCTTGGGTAATATGCTACATTATAATGATTAATAACAACCAACCATTATAAAAACCTTGTGGAAAAATATTTGTTTTTTTACTATGCTTTAATAAATATGGTTAACTTAACTACCCTGGATTCGGTTCTTTATAAATTGCACATAAAATCTATTCATAATTCACTAACATAAATTATGCAATCTGTGTTCCTAAAATATGCATTGTATATGTGTGAAAATATACTGATACACATTTTTTTTCAACTGTAGCAAATAACATTTTATGAGAAAAAATAACATGAAGTGTATCATGAAATGAAAAGCAAACGCAGAGATTGTATTTATTAATTTAAAAAAATTAAGTTTTCCTGAAAATAATCTAGTCAAATGTAAATAGTACATGGAATAGTAAAGGGCTTTCCATATTATTAAGGAATGTTGGACACCAGCACAAACACATTTAAAATATGAACAGGATAAAAAACCAAAATATCCTATCAAAATTTCCAAAATGTTTTGTTGAAATAAGAAAAATATGCAACAGTAATGTTATGCACAAGACCAAAAATAAAAGTCATAATATAAATTGAAGAAATTTTAAAACAGAGAAATGAAAAACATTTTCAAAGATAAAATAGGAAATTCTTTGTGAATAAAGTTTTCAAATAACCAAAGAATAGCAACTACTCTTGCTGTGGACTACTTATAGTTTTAGATGATGAAATTGTGTAAATGTGGTATTTAAATCTATGTAGTTTGTAGAGAAAGGTAAAAAATGGTAATATACAAGTAAACTATCTCCACTACAAGTTCTGCTATATTTTAGCTTTATATCTGTTTCATACTTTGAACTATTAAACATTTCTGACTAGTTAGAAACACTGCTTTAAAAAATGTATTCATACATATTTATGCTAAAATGACAGTTTAGCTGGTTTTTGTTATGTGTATCATAACTTTGTATCAGTGTTATCAACAATCAGTTTGGGATTGAAAATCCATAATTACATTATAGCATCTGCACACAGTACACAAGTTAGCATACATGTAATACATTCTACATGTATGTTGCATGTAGTGCTGAAAATCCCAGCTGCCATTAGTTGACCACAAAATCACAAGTCAAATAGGTATAAAAAACATCTGTTTGTTTTCTCTTGCACTTAGCTGCATGAGACAAAGCGTAGTAGGACTAAACCTTAATTCTGGGTGTGGGGCTGAAGAGGAACAACTGTTTCTGATCGCCCCTGGTTGTCAAACAAATCTTAATTACTGCCAAGTTTAGTGGAGTCTCTTGAAAAGAAAAGAATAGTTAGAGAGGATCTGATTGAGATATTCAAGAATGTTAAGGGAATTGATGCATCTTTGTTTTATTATATTTTGGCAGAGAAGTCATCTTGATCTAAAACAACTTTATAGGTTAGCCTATGGATGACGTAGGTGCAATAAATTTAAGGGAAAGCTTGATATCTGAATGATAAGGGCTGGCTCCGAGTTCATTTTTCTTTTAAGGACTTAATTGAATTTAGTGGATAGGAGAGCCTATATAGACAGAAAATTTCCCCTGGTGTCCTTTAATGTTATTAATGATCTTTCTCTGCCAGTGCTTATCTTTGGTCTTTGCATGAGAGAAAGAATAATATTAAGTTTATTTACTGGTTTTTCAAATGAAAACAACAGCAGTTATCTGTCCCAGTGTCTCTTGGAAACATTAATTTTCATTTAAGCTCTAACTAAAATACATACTATCATAGTTAAGTTAAGGGTACAACAACAAATATGAGGTGCCTTGATTCCACTATTACTAATGTATGAAGCACAGTAGTTGTCTTGTTTTTAATCATAAATTTACTATATTGCTTGAAAATTTACTTTTCTGAAGTTCTATCCTGGTGAAATGTTTGTGCAACATGTAGAGTATAATTTTTATTTGTGTGTTTTAGTCATAAACGTAATTTCTCACATTTACATGAGTTAATTATTCTGTCCCGTCACCTATGTGAAGTACGATGTTATACACAGAATAAAATAAATCAAGAAAATAAGAAATCAATATTACACTCTAATCCTGTGTATATAAAACAGTTTAAAAAATATTATTCTATGTAAACAAATTTTGATTAGAATATTTTGGTAGTTTCAAATTGTCAGTCCAGCCACGTCTCCAAGTCATACTAAATCTGGTGCTACTATAGCGTGCAGTCTATACAGATACTATCATCATTACAATTTTAACTTTCATTTATTTGCAATTGGCACCATTTATTAAAAATAATGCTTTTATGCTTAGATATAAATTATTTTGCAATAAATTATATTTTAGTAAATTATTAAAACAGTGATGATGATGATAGTATCTGTGTTGACCACACACTATAGTGCAAATTTCTTTGTAGACTGCATGCTATAGTAGCACCCCAAATCCTTGATTTTAATACTAACCATTGCCTAGCCAATCAGAATCAATCAGAACACTCCTCACTTTCTTCCATCAGAAAATACATTATGCCTAATGTTCTAAAACAAATATACATAAATGCTGTCTACCAATTTTATGCTTTATGCCACTAGTCAAATAAGTCAACTGTTAAAAAGAAACTAGCAAAAATTAGTTGCTGTTTCAGCACTGGTTATGCATTTACATTTTATGCTACCTTGTATGTAGTGATGACCATTTCATTCCATAAAATTTCAACAAACATTCATAGAGTAATTGATAATTCAGACATATTTTTTTTATAAGCTGCCCTGTATGTAGTTATGACCATTTCATCCCATAAAAATTCTACAATTCAAAAGGTAATTGATAATTCAGACATTTTACTAAGTATATTTTAAACATCTATAAGATGACCATATAGCTGATTTGGAATTCTAATAATATTTCATTCATAAACATGACGCAAGCTACCTGAGAATGTTTCTTATGTAAATTACTTTAAAATGCTTTCAATCTGATCTTCTTTTTCTGCCCAATTAACATTTGAAAGTTTGCTTCTTGTTGCAAGACTAAAATTATCTTCAAACTCAGGATCAGTGCGTTTAAGAAAATGGAATCTGTAGAAAAGAAGTTTCTTTGCATACTGATACAGCTCCAAGTCTAACTTATTCAGTTCTTTGATTTTTTCAATCTGAGCATTTGTTAAGTTGTGTAATAAAGCTTTTTTTTCACTCTTATCCTTTCCAGAGTTACGAGAATTCTGTTTTTCATCTTTTTCCAAAAAATACAAATCAAATGTTGCTTCAAAAATATACTGAGACATTTTTGGAAACTCAGATAAACCAAAAAATGCCATTTTGTGAAGGTTGTTTTTAGCACTTTCCAACATAACAATTTCTCGTTCCTCCTTAGATAAAACAGAGGAATTATAACACCCAACAAGAGCTAAGTCTGCAAGCATTCTAGTCTGCCTATTCAAGCCTAAGTTGGATGGACAAGACAAGAAATCAGATAAAGTTAGTTTACTCAGGTCTTTGTCAGTAAAACAGGATGGGACATCATTGGTAGTTACTTCACGTCCACCACACCAGTGACGTGAAGCTTTCCAGCCTAAGCCCTTTCGAACATGCCAAAACTCACTGAGTAGACGAGTGACAGGATCTCGAAGAACTGTTATGTAGAAATACCTAAAGAAAAGAAAATAAGTGCCTTATTTAAATAGCTATCAATGAGGAAAAGTATTCATTTCCTACAAACATGTACATACACTTACATCAACCTATATTCATTATGATAAAATGCAAGTTAATTATTAAAATAATAACTATTTCAATCATCACACAATAATTTAGCCATAGGCTGAAATGACAACAGTAAAACAAGCAAGGCCTAAAACAACAACATTATGCTTTTAATTAGACAGAGATGAAAGTGTCCCTTTCCTAAAAATCCTGAAAATAACTGAAGCCAAATAAGGGGGGTCCGGCACCCAAAATCCTGCATTCTTACATCAATGATTATCA